TCTTCTCCTTGGTTTTCCTCACATTGCGCTGCAGCAATTTCTAATCGAAACCGTTACTTCCATATCTATCAGCAAAACAATTCTCCAGAAAACAGAGCTCTGTTCACTATCGCCAGAAACCATTGTAAAAAGGTTTTGTCTGACGCCAAAGCTCGCTATTCCCAGGTCATTAAATCTCGTATCTCATCACAAAAATTAGGCTCTCGAGACTTCTGGAGAATCTTTAACAGTATCAATAATAAGGGCAAATCTGTTATTCCTTCTCTCTTGTATGGTTCAGACTTTGTCACCTCACCTAAAGACAAAGCTGAATTGTTTGCTAAGAACTTTTCATCAATATCATCTCTTGATTCCACTAGTTGCGTTTTACCTGACATAGCCGTCAAACAGGTTGATCCCTTGCTTGACATTCGCATCACTTCAGCTTCTGTATCTAAAGTAATTTCCTGCTTAGACTCTTCAACAGCTTGTGGTCCTGACAACATTCCTGTTGTAGTCCTGCAGAGGTGTTCTCCGGAGCTTTCATCCATACTTTCTAAACTATTTAACAAGTGCTTATCAGAGTCTTGTTTTCCATCATGCTGGAAAGCAGCATCTGTTATCCCTATTTTCAAAAATTCCGGAGAGCGATCTGATTCATCTAACTACCGTCCCATTAGTCTTCTTCCTGTCATAAGCAAGGTTTTTGAATCTTTAATCAACAAACACTTAATCTCTCATCTTGAATCAAATAACTTACTTTCTGATCATCAATATGGATTTCGGTCTTCTCGTTCTACAGCTGATGTGCTAACAGTAATAACCGATAGGTTTTACCGTGCATTAGATAGTGGTGGAGAGGTTAAGGCTATCGCACTTGACATTTCTAAAGCTTTTGATAAAGTTTGGCATGCTGGTCTTCTCCATAAGCTTTCTTCTTATGGTGTAGCTGGTAACGTCTTTAAGATTATTGAGTCCTTTCTTTCCAATCGTAGTATAAAAGTTGTCCTCGATGGACAACACTCTTCTTCACATCCTGTAACTTCAGGGGTTCCTCAAGGTTCAATCCTTGGCCCTATACTCTTTTTAATTTACATTAACGATCTTCCAGATATTCTCACATCTAAGGTGGCATTATTCGCTGACGACACTACCATTTACTCTTGTCATGATAAGAAGCCTACACTCTCTGATTGCTTGGAGGGGGTATCTGAGCTTGAAAAGGATCTCACTTCTGCTACAGCATGGGGCTCACAGTGGCTGGTGAACTTTAATTCAGATAAAACTCAATTTTATTCGGCCAATCGTTATCGTAATAATTTAGATCTTCCTATATTTATGAATGGTAATGTACTAGATGAGTCATCTACCATTCATCTTCTAGGATTAACTCTTACTTCTGATCTTTCTTTTAAACCGTATATCAAATCCATTGCAAAATTAGCATCTGCTAAGGTTGCAATGGATTTGATATCTCTTTATCGAGCTCGACACTTTCTTACTCCAGATTCTATTCTCTATCTCTATAAATCTCAAATCCGTCCCTGTATGGAATACTGTTGCCACATCTGGGGCGGATCTTCTAATGATGCTCTTTCTCTTTTAGACAAGGTGCAAAAACGAATTGTAAACATAGTTGGACCTGCTCTGGCAGCCAATCTCCAACCTTTGTCACATCGTCGTAATGTTGCTTCTCTTTCTCTTTTCTACAAATACTATAATGGGCACTGCTCTAAAGAGCTAGCGTCCCTTGTGCCATCTACTAAACTTCATTCTCGTGTTACTCGCCATTCAATTAAGTCTCATCCTTTTTCTGTGACTGTTCCTAAGTGCTTCAAAAACTCTTATTCTTCTAGTTTTTTTCCTCGAACATCAGTTCTTTGGAATTCGCTTCCTTCATCTTGCTTTCCTGATTCATATAATTTGCAATCTTTTAAGTCATCAGTCAATCGTTATCTTGCTCTACAGATTTAGTCTTTTTTCTTCCAGTAACTTCCAACTCTTATAGTGGTTGCTTGCAGCCTTGTTGGAAGTGAAGATGTTAAAAAAAAAAAAAAAAAAAAAAAAATATGGTTTAATCCCCCTTTTAGTAAGAATGTTGTTACCAAATAAGGAAACCTTTTTTTGAACTTAATTGACTTACATTTCCCACCACACCACAAGCTGCACAAGATTTTTAACAGAAACACATTCAAAATAAGTTACAGCTGCATGCCAAATATAAGTACTATTATTAAGTCCCACAACCAATACATTTTGCGCAACTTAATTACCAAAAACATTAGAAAATGTAACTGTATAGACAGAGCTACGTGTCCTTTAAAAATCAATGTCTAACTAAAAATATTATTTACAAAGCTACCATAACACCAGCGAATGTCAACCACGCTAAGAAATCTTATATTGGTATTAGCAAAAACTCCTTCAAGATCAGATTTGCAAACCACATAAAATCATTTAATTTGGTCAGGTATAAAAATGACACTGAACATTCTAAAGAAATCTGGAAACTTGAGGAAGCAGGCATTAAACCAATAATCAAGTGGAGTATGGTTGAAAAATGTCAACCCTATAACCCATCCTCAAAAAGGTGTAATCTCTGCATTAAAGAGAAATATTTTATTTTAACATACAATAAAGAACCTTTGTTAAATAAAAAAAAATGAATTAGTTTCATGTAGACACAGAAAAAAGTTTTTGCTACCAAATTTTTTGCTATCGACACATTGATTATATAAACTCCCGTTTGCCGCGAAAACTGACGTTTGATCTCGATGCAATGCAATTTTGTATTTTTTATAACGGTTTTTATTTTAATGATTTTAAATATATGGCTGAATGATTTCAGAATAGCATGAAACTTGAAGTCCCATAAAAAAGTCGTATTTTTTTCATTTAAATATTTAATATATTTTGACCTATTTTAAATATCTATTACTCTTAAACATTTTAAATATCGATTACTCTTAAAGAATATAACACAACTCAATAATATATATATATATATATATATACATATATATATATATATATATATATATATATATATATATATATATATATATATATATATATATATATAGTATATATATATATATATATATATATATATATATATATATATATATATATATATATATATATATATATATATATATATATATAGCCTGTATATAATATATATATATATATATATATATTTATTTTATACAGGCTATATATATATATATATATATATATATATATATACATATATATATATATATATATATATATATATATATGTATTTTATACAGGCTATATATATATATATATATATATATATATATATATATATATATATATATGTATTTTATACAGGCTATATATATATATATATATATATATATATATATATATATATATATATATATATATATATATATATATATTACAGGCTCTATTATCTTGTTATAGTATCTAAAGGAGAAGAACAACAAACATTGTGTAAAACAAGCAATTAGGTGAACCAATCAGTTTATATTAGTGATGTACTGATAGAACTTTTTTGGCCGATACTGATGTCAATGGATTGGGAAAAGGCCGATACCAATGAATTAACTAATTATTAAAATTTTGAAAATATAAAACCATACGACTTTAAATTGTGTAATCTTTTTCATGGTAAACAAATACTTGGACCCAAATCAGAGCCGAACCATTATTTTAAAAGATATTAGAAAAACTCAGTTAAAAAAAGATACATTTTTTAGTTTTGTTCAATATGAAAAGAAAACAGAATAAATGCAATTTTAGAGAAATTTTTTTAATTGAATTTTTAAAAGAAAATGGTACAATCATAAGCAGTTTACTTAGAACTCTTTAATAATTTATTAGTAATTTAGATATCTAAACAAAAATCGTAGATTGTTGAGATATCTAAATTATTTTTAGATAATTAAGTTGTTTTAAGAATAATTTTATTTTGTGATGTTCAATCCCCACCATGTCCCTGGTAGTACTGCGCTCAACTTTTTCTCAGTGCAGCAACCTTGTTTGTCAAGGTTTGTGTTTAGGAGTTATAAAGTTGAGAGAAAGTTATAACCATAAATAAAGTAGTCTCCTCAACTGGAGTGGCCTTCGTGACCATTGTCATTTAAAAATAATGAAAAATAAAAACATATAAATATAGTAGGCTCTACTTAAACACATATAGATAACAATGCTTAAATAGGTTACTTTTAAGTATAACAATAGAACAACACAAAATCAAGTTATTATAAAAACAACATTATGGTAATAAAAGTATAAATACATTCAGCTGTTAAATTAAAACTTATAAATTCATCTTAAAAATAAACAGCATAGCCTGTAAACAAAGTCAAATTAAACAATTTTTTCGAAAAAATTCTAAGTAATGCATAAAGTTTGATTTTTTTATTATTTAGTTATTATTATTATGCAGGATAAAAATATTAAAATGCCATCGGTTGGAAAATCGGTAAATTAATAAAAAAAAGGCCCATGCCGATACTGATTCCAATTGTGCAAAAAGTGGCTGATTAAGCCAATGCTGATGCCAATTAATTAGTACATCACTAGTTTATACACATAATAATATTACAATATTTGTGATGAGCCATACAGAGGAAATGACAATTTTTCAAAAAGGTGGTGGGTAAGAAATTATAAATAAAGTATAAAAAAAACAGGTTTTCATGGATTTTTTTAAAACTTACAATTTGTTGCACAATATAATTATTCAATTTTCATGTACTTTTTGAACTTATTTAAATTTGATTTTTTATGCAATCTTGCCTGGATTTGGCAAAGTTTTTTCAAAGAAAATAATGTATGTGTTACCCGAAGTTGAAAACTCTGCAGCAAATGTTACAAAAAAGTAGTAGAAACGATTCAAGGTAGTTTAATAAAATTCTTTGCAATATGAGGTGTCCAATCGGAACAAAATTAAGTATTTGAAATTACATTATTTTATAAAGTAAAGTTTTAAGTCAAAAATTCAAAATACAAAAAAAAATACCATGTATTTTAGGGTATCTTTCTTTACATGCTTCTCAATTTCTAAAACCCATTGTGTTAACAAAGTATCTGGACACACTATAAGTGTACAATGTGTTTCTGTTATCTAAAATAAATCAGTAGAGTACTGAGTATTTAACAGTTTATTTTAATAATGTTTGTGCTAAGTTATACAATGATGGCTTAGATATTTAAATTTAATTTTTATACAATAAAAGAGAGCTACAAGAATAAGTCTAAGAATTTTATAAAGAAGATTTTATAGAGAAGATTTTATAGAGAATTTTAATAAGTAAAAAATTAAACTCTTTATAATAATAAATCTTTGTTGTAAGTTTATTGAAGAAACATTTTTTACACTTATATAAAAAAAAAAAAATACACAATGACATTGTCGTCTTTTTAAAGTAAAAATGACTATATGGTTTTAACAACTACCCTGACTGTAACAACAATTAATAATAACAATGACTAAACTTTGTATCAATGATTATACTTTGTATCAATAATAACAATGATTATACTTTGTATCAATAATAACAATGATTATACTTTGTATCATTAAAAACAATGATTATACTATGTATCAATTATAACAATGATCATACTTTGTATGAATAATAACAATGATTATACTTTGTATCAATAATAACAATGATTATACTATGTATCAATATTAACAATGATTATACTTTGTAATAATTAGGGCTGTACCGGATTTCGGCTCCGGCTCCTGCTCCGGCCGAAATCCGGCCATTTTTACAAATCCGGCCCAAATCCGGCTCCGGCAAAAATTTAGCAAATCCGGCATAATTTTAGCCGGAGTTTTGAATTATGTCAAATATTTATTACATTTTTTTTGCCCGTGTTTACATGTATACCTAATATTTTATTTATAAAAATCAATTTTTTTTGTAATTCTATATTTTATGAACCTCATATTTGTTTTGGTATTTGTATTTATATTTTTTTATAATTTAATAAGCTAAGTCTAATTTAAAACAACAACGCAACAAAAAATTCTGAAGGGAAGACACATGATATTCTAGAATGACGCAGGTATAAAGACTATAATGTCAACCCTAATCAAGTGATTGGATGAGCGTTTTAAAAGCATTGAAAAGAGAAACCTCTTTATATACTGACGAGGCTGGTTGACTCACAATTTAAAACTAAATTCTCCTCATTACAGGCAACACTGACAGCTGAAAAAACAAGATTGAAATCAATCTGAGCATGCTGAACAGAAGATTGACAAAACTGAAGAAAATCCACCAAAATAAGCCAGGCTTAATAATTTTTTTACATCATCATCATTATTACTCTGGCAATTTATTGATAAAATTATTCAGTCTACGTCCGCTGGTGGCAGGGCACATAAACAACAATTACTAAAAGGCATTGAAACTCAGCTAAGGAAATATCCGAAAGAACCAGAAATAAATAGACACAATGATCCACTACAGTGGCGGAGTGACAAAATCCCGGAAAAAAAGTTCAATAGAATTACTATAAACTTTTAAAACATATGGCCTATAGAATTTCTTTAGAATTTCTATTAATTTATATATAGAAATTGCTATAAAACTTTTTAAATAACAACAATGAAGTTTAACAGAAAACAGCAGTCACTTGGTATTCTGAATAGTCCACATTGTTGACCATGCTCAACACCAATTAGGGATGTACAGGATTTTGGCTCCTGTAGTTTTGTTTTGAAATCCGGCTCCGGCTCCGATTCCGGCCGGATCTGTCAGTAGAAATCCGGCAAATCCGGCTCTGGCCGGATTTGAAAGAATTAAATCCGGTACAGCCCTAGTAATAATATTAACAATGATTATACTTTGTATCAATAATAACAATGATTATACTTTGTATCAATAATTAAATCAATAATTATATTGATATAATTTTAGCTTTTTTTTAAGTTTTTTAGAAAATTTGAGTCAATTTTTTTCAAACTAACATATGGTTAAAAACCATTATTGTCTTTTTGAACTATTTTAAGAATCATTTAATAAGTTTTGTTAATTCTTTTATTGTTTTAAAGCAAATTTATATTCCTTTTGAATTATATAACAATACTTTTTAAAAAGTTGATTGTGAACAAAAAAATGCAATCCCACATAAAAATGAAAAAAATTATTTTTGACAGGTGATTTAAAAACTGTTATGTTGTAATTAATTTGCTACAAAAAAGTATAAAATTAAATGGAAAACTATTGTTGTATCATCAAATTATAGTGCAGAGGTTGTGTATTAAAAATAAAGTTGAGAAATCGAAAATAAGATCTGTTATGTTTAAAATCTGATCAAAATGTAATCAAGGTGATACAATTCCAGAGTATTCTGTTTGGAATATCAAAAAAAAAAAACTTTATGTTCTCAAGTTGACAATCCAAGAAACCAAACAGTGGAAAACTTATATAATAAAAGCTTTGAGAAAATTAAAAGTGCATTATCCATTATGATGAACTGTGAACTTTTTGTTTGGCGCTCATGGGCTGGATATTTTATAAAATCTAGAAAGGAAAAAAACCTTAAGTTTTGCTAAAAAGAATCAATAAAAAATATTTATATGTTATTGTTTGATTTTGTAAACAAAGATTTCAAATATATGGTGCTTGTTTTTTTGTTTTTTTTTTGAAAAAAAAAGAAAACTTGTTATATATTATGTATTGAATTTGAAACAAAAACATCAATATGTAATTTTCTACCATGGTTTAATTTTAAAAAAAAAGGAGTAAACAATTTTTGAGGCACTTTTGGGTACCCATTCAGCACAAGCGGTATCAAAACATGTCTGATTTTGTTTCTGTCAAGTTCAAACTTTTACAATACTATTTTACTTATTTATAATTTTTGGTTGTTCAAAATTTTAAATACACATATTTAACCATGAGTATTTAAAAAATTTATGTAAAATTAATTCCTAAGAAAAAAATAATTAATAACTGTTCACTGTGTTGCTGAATGAACTTTAGGTTGAAAAAAATTGTACAGAAAAACTGTTTACATATATTGTTAGCTTTATATCTGGCGACTCCAAAATTGTATACCAAAAAATTGTAACATTCCGTCCTGATGAAATATGACATTTTACAAAAAAACAACAGTATTTTGCATATATTTGCATAGATTTTGTTACTATTATTAGTGATTTTAATAATAAATTAACAATAATAATAACTATGCTTAATAACAATCTAAACAGTTTTATAATATATCACTGTACAGTTAAATCCTTTCATTATTATATGTCAAAATAACACCCATAAGTTTTTTCTTGTATGAGTCATGATAATAGTCTTTGGTAACCTGTACCTTGACATTTCTAAAAATTTTGAATGAAGAGACTCTCCTGCTTGCTCACTGGTGAGTCCAAGAGCCTCACCATTTTCTGCGCAATATGATGTTATATGGCTGAACAAGATATGAAGTTTTGTTAACTTAGTTGATAGTTTTAAAGCGTGAAAATAATGTTCAAAATTTTTTATATCAGTATCAAAACCATTTGCTAAACTCTTTCCAAATGTTGACTGAGATACCACATCAAAAGCATCAAAAGCATCACAAAACCCATGAAGATTATCTGAAAGATTTTTTCTCAGTTCTTTGGATAGTTTGAGTAGCCTTTTACACTGGAGTCCTGTCATTTTAAAGTAAAAAATATGTCTAATTCAACTTTATTAACAAGACAAATTTTATTTTCAAATAATATGTTAACCTTCAAATTCCCCTCCATGATACTTTGCTTTTAAAAGACCATGTTTTTTTAAAAAAGGTGTCCATTCGTTAGCTCCCCAACTGTGAGCTAATTCATTCCAGATAATGTTGACACAGCCCTAATAATATTAATATAAAAGTTTGAATAAAAATTTAAAATATAGAAAATTATTTTAAAAGTATAGCTTTATCGATTTCATATTCATTATGCAATATAAAAAGTTTTTATTATAGATATTTTACAGAAAGTTTTTAAAACATTTACAGTAAAAATGTGTAATTCGGGAATGCTGCAAATGTCTAGAACCCTGGTTGAATCATTTCCTACTAGTAACGGAAAATTCTTGCAGTTGTTAAAATCTTTTAGCTTCGAATCTTTTTTCCCAGCTGCTATCCAGGCTAAATTGTTTTCTTTGATTGATCCAAGAGTTACAAACAAGAAATCTTGTTGTAACTCTTGGATCAGAATGTCAACAGAGGTGTTTTGCACCTAATTTGTAAACCCAAAATTAGCATGATGTACAATAATATAATAAACGTTTAAATGGAAAATTTTATTTACTGTGGCTTTGTAGTCCCAGAATTATGTTAAGCAACTCAAATCAGCAGAGAGTTTATATGATATCTCGGATAGACCAACTTTTTTCCATATTTGCTAACAATTCAAGTAACATTCTTCTATGTTTGGAACAATTCCAATTAATAAGATTTTATTTACTGATGTCTCTTTTGCTAAATAGGATTAATACCCTGTTATTTAAGCAAAATGTATACTAACTTTTTTAGTTAAATGCCAGTTATAGTATATTATTATAAATAATAGGTTTGAAAAATCATTTGCATTATGCCTACTTGTACTGTGAGTAAAGATTTCTTTTAAGCACATCTTTTTTATAGCTTGAAATATTTATGATGCTGAGACCTATCTTAAAACTACCACCTCCACCATCCGCAAATTTTAAATAAAAAATAAAAAAATATGAATGTGTATGAATTACTAAACCATTACGTAAAAACTACCAAAGCATCGTGAGGTTGAATCTTCCTTTTTTTGATGATTTTCCATAGAGGTTCCGAAATATTTTTTACAAAAATGAAGGGTCTAAATAAAATTAGATAGTGTTAGTAAATATTTTTTGAACTTTTTTTTCTTATTTAAATGTTACATTTACCACTAACTAACAAGAGCTTATGATTTAAAAAAGTTAAAGAACGAAATGCATATATTTGTATACATAAACTTGATACTTGCGTTTGGATTGAATATTTGTGTCCTCTTAAACTAGAAATTTCAACAAAACATTGGTTGCAAATCTTCAAAGCAGATTTTTGCATATTGCGCATACTTTTTGTTTTGCTTTTTGTCAACTCCAAAAATATATTCAAAAAAATTGTAACGGAATGTTACAATTTTTTCGAATATATTTTTGGAGTCACCAGACATAAACCTAACAATATATGTAAACAGTTTTTCTGTACAATATTTTTTAACCTAAAGTTCATTCAGCGACACTGTGTATTATAGAATATAATTATTGAATTATAAGCTAAAAATTTTTAATAACTTTTTATCCAAAAAAATTCACTCAAAAGATTTTGTAACAAGGAATTTATTTCTACTTAAACATTATTTCTATATCTAAAGAACTAAAGAATCCTTCAATTGCTTCAAAATCTTTAACTTTTTTTAACTTTTTTTAAGAAACTCTTAGAATTTTTATTGAAGAATGTTTATAATCAAATCTTTATTTTATAACTTAAAAAACCAAAGTGAAAGACAAACCAGTTTAAGGAAAACTAAATTAAAAAGAAAATCACATAAACTACTAACCTGTTTGACTACACATAATGGACAGAAATGGTTTTTAACATTAAGATTAACAAAACCTGCGCATTCCTTATGCATAATAACTTTACATTCTTGACATACAATTTTTGTATTATCATTTGAATTCCCACAGAGATCACATGTGGTACATTTCAATAAATCATTATTGTTTTCTATTCCATTTTTGTTTAAAATTTCAAATTCAGATAAAAAAAAACTATTGTCATACTTCAACCTTTTAGCAGGTAACAAACCATCATATTCGCTTGGTAACAAATCATCCTGTTCCGTTGGTAACAAATCATCATGTTTACTTGGTAACAAATTATATTTTCTTGGTAACAAATCATCATGTTTGCTTGGTAGCAAATCATCATGTTTGCTTGGTAGCAAATCATCATGTTCTTTTGGGAACAAATTATCAATTTTGCGCGATTTGTCTATCTCATTTGGAATTAAACCTTCAAAATTACAACAATCAGTAATTAATTTATCATTTTCTTTATTGGCAATTCTGATATCATCAAAACTTTTTTCTTTATTTTTAATATTTTGGTCATCATGAAAGTATTTGGTAGGACATGGATTATTTAAGATACAAGCCAAAACCTCTACTGTTTTGCCTAAAAAATTGTTAATTTTCTTAAAAGTTAAAAATTTTAAAGTAATCAAAGTAAATTTAATAAAAAAAATTTTATGTTTTGTTGAATTCACAAAAATATTAAAAACTTTTTTCTTATATTAAATACTTATATATTACTTGGGAACCAAGTACTTATATTAAAGTATTTTGTTAAATTACAAACTACTTAAATCAAAAAAAGTTGTTAATAATTTATCACAATTTCTAAATAATTTATACTCCTATAATCTTGTCTTAATAAATCTTAAGTCCTATAATCTTGTCTTAATAAAAAAAATATATATAGTAGAAAATATTCGTAAATATAACGTAAATCTTTTACTGTTGTAAAAATTTAGAATTAAAATGGTAAAGAATTAACAACAACAATTAATGATGATGATGATAATGATGATGATGACGATGATGATGATGATGATGATGATGATGATAATGATCATGATGATGATAATGATCATGATGATGATCATGATGATGATAATGATCATGATCATGATGATCATGATGATGATCATGATGATCATGATGATGATCATGATGATCATGATGATGATCATGATGATCATGATGATGATCATGATGATCATGATGATGATCATGATGATCATGATGATGATCATGATGATGACAATGATGAAGATAATTTAAACTAAAATACCAAGGCCCATTTCTTCAGCAAGAATACCACCTTTTGGCAATAGATCCTGAGTAAAACGTTGCAATGTTAATCTAAACAATATAATACACTGTGTAAAATTGAATTTTTGTGATAAATTATAATTAAACTATGGTTAAATTAAAATTTAAAAAATGTAAACAAACTTTAAATATTTAACTGACTAGAATAATTTGTCCCTTTTTTTTAAAAAGATCATATAAATTTGATAAATTGATAACAAAAAATGTATATATAAACAAAAGAAAAAGCAAAGAATTCAAACCCATACCACAGTCTTTACAATATATAATGCATCCACATCCAACATATCATTAGGTAAGTTAATTAAATTTATATCCATATGGTAGGATGAATATTTTTAGATGTTGTTTGCCCATCTGGTCAAACAAATAGTCAATAAGTATTAAATTATAAAAATACAATGATCAAGTTGCACAATTTAATACCATTCACAAAGCAAGCAATGCAACTTTACAATGCCATTTTCATCAATATCATACTAAAAGTTTCAATTACATTCCTTTTCAGTTTTACAAACAAAGATACTACAAAATATTAAAAACAATAACAAGATAATAATTAATAGTCAAGATAGTAGGCCTAATTTTTAATGATATAGAAGTCTATACAGATCATATAATTCTTAATGATATAGAGGTCTATACAGTTTATACAATAGAAAAATATACAACAATTTACTTAATAGAAAAGTCAAAATAATAAAGCTTAAATATTTTATCGAATTGATTTTATTTAAAACCATTGCAAAATAATGAATTTCATTAGGTAATATTTTGCTTAGAATGGGTTAAATTTTTAAACTTAAAGCTAATTTACTTTTGCAAGTAAATGTAATTGCAATAATAAAAATTTGGTGAAAACTTTCTATTTAAAGTAGTTCCAGGCCTCCCAATGGTCACATGTTAAACTGGCTGTTAAGTGCTTGTGACTTTCTTTTCATGTTTCTAACAGTGGCAACAAACTTTTGTTAGTTTAATAAAAAAAAACTGTTTTACAAACTAAGATTATGACATAAGCTGTAAATAAAAAGAGTAAAAAATAATTTATACACCACTGTTTGTTTTTGTTTTTATTTACTTTTATTTATTTTATATTTACTCTAATTACCACTTACAAAATCTTTTCATCAACAAAAGTCTTTAGTATTTAAAAATTTTTTTAATAATATAACATTTCATCTAGTAAAGTACCTAAAAATGTTTAAAAAAAATCCATACATCTCTCACCTCTCATCCTTGTTCAGCTTTGTACAAAGATGAAAAGCTCCTAAAAATTTTCTCTTTGGCTATTTTTATAATTGGACATCACTTTATGAAGTTCTATAATTGTATATAAAATCAATTTTCGCATACTTTTGAAGAATGATATTTAGACAAGCAATCTGCCTACCATATACTTTTTATCCTTTTTATTAGGTCTGATCTAACTAATATGTAATAAAAAAAAGAAATCACCATTGAAAAGTATTGGTATTGTTCTAATTTAAATTTTAAAATGAGTTTGACATCATTTGGTCAATAATAGTGTGAATAGTAACAACATTAAAAATATCAATTTTAAAGGAGGTCTAATAAAAACTTTTCACAATGCCATATTGCCATGGCAACAACTACTTTTGTTCTTTAAAAGACACTCACTTAGATTCTTTTGACTCTAATATTTCTTGTTACAGTCTATAAATTGTCTATAAGACAACTCACATAAAATAATCCACATGTAAAAAAAATTTTTAACCCCAAATTTTGGGGTCTCAAACAACAAATGGACAACTTCATTAACCATAAGTTCTAGAACTTTAATCAGAAATACTGTATGTGCTATTTATCATGTGCTGAACCTATTTTAAATGCTCACAATTGTAATGTTTTGAACAAAAATTGATAAAAAAAACTGTAACTGACTTAATACTTATATTACTTGGCTGTGATTTAAAAAAATTTGCATGAAAAATATTGTGTATTATGTAAATGTCACTTTCACTATCCCTAGTCACAATCTAACTGATAAAAAAAACACCTTTAAAAATTATGCAAACAATATTAAACCTTTCACTACTCTTAAATAAAAAAATGTGAGCTATCAAAGGAGCAGAAAATAAACAAATATTTAAATATATTAGAACCTAATTGTTAAGTGAAAACTAATCAAACAGTACGGAGCCTAAAACCTAGCTACAAGATCTTGTAATTTATGCATTAATGAAAAATAAGAAACTCTTTACTTCAAGATGATAACTTAAATAAACATAGCAAATTTATATATATATATATATATATATATATATATATATATATATATATATATATATATATATATATATATATATATATATATATATATATATATATATATATATACACTTAGATATAAATATATATATATATATATATATATATACATATATATATAAGTATATACACATACATATATATATACATATTCATATGTATGCATATATATTTACGTGTATATATATATATATATATATATATATATATATATATATATATATATATATATATATATATATATATATATATATATATATATATATATAGACAGTGAAGAACCCAGAGTTTATTTGGGGATACCGTTTTTTTTTTTAGCAATGTTGAGGGAGGGTGGGGAATTTTGTTTTTAATTTCCCCCTCATCCTCACTCTCCCTTAGTTAAACGGGTGCCGCAACAATAACTTTTAATCATCATTTTTTTAATAATCATTTATGTTTATCTTGTTCGATTTTATCCTATAATAAGGTATTGATTTAAAGGCATTTTTTGAATACATGAATTTACTGGTGGACGATGTTACCTTAGTTAAAAGAAAACTATTTTACTTAAGATTTTAATAAACGCTCTTGTTGCATATGCCATGCTATCAGTAAATAATTATTGAAAATTGTTTAAAGTATTTTAAACAGTTATTAACTATATTTTAGTAAATTTAATTTAAAATAATAATTAAAAATATTTTAAACTTTTTAACCAATATTTCCATTACATAGTATATTTACATATATTATATCGCGTAATATTTGTAAAATAAACAAAATAGTTTTACGTCTTGTATTTGAATTAAAAACATAAGCATTTAATAAACAAATTCGATAAGCATTTAATAAACATATTTAATAAACTATTCGAATAAAAACATAAGCATTTAATAAACTTATTTTCTATTATTTTAAAATTAAAAGTTTGGTTTAAATATTAGTAAATTTATTCATTTAACTTTTACTAAAGGTTATAATTTTTAAAGTGATTTTAAGGCGCCTTTTAAGTTAAAGATAATTAAAGAGATAACTATAGTAAACATAATTTAAAAAATATTCTATTATTTTGATTAAAAACCATATTATATTTTTAAAAACATTTAATTTTAAAAAATATATTATTAAGAATAGTTTAAAAAATTACATTTGAATAAATAAATTACATTTACTATGGGTTATTTTAAATAGATCTAAATAAAACTTTTATAAGTTATTGAAACCTTTTTTTTTATTATTTTAAAAAGATTATTGAAAGAAAAAAAAACTGTCTAAAAAATTTTATACTTCGTTTTTTCATTTTCCCCGCATAAAACTAAAATAGCAAGCTAAAGATCAAAAGTTCATTGATTTAAAAATTAAACTTGCGTGATAGTTACAAGGACTGATTTTTTTTTAGTTTGGTTCATTTATTGTCAAAAGCAGTTTACTCTTAATTGCCAAAAACAAAAATTAACCTTATGCTGAATGGATATTTAAAAGCGCTTTAACTTTCAAAAAAGCAAATCTTTTATACATTCCAATGTTATAAAATTTTGCAACGTGGTTTTAAAATTAAGTTTCATAACGATTTTTTTAAAAGTTATGTCTAGTTAATAACCAAAGGCAAATTACATCATGTAGTTATTTAAAAAAGTAATTTCTTTTTAATTTTTTTTATTTTCCTGAAGAAAAAATGAGGTAGCTAAATTAAACTGAGAATTATTTATATACTACTGCATTTAAAACTAATTTTTTTTTCTATTTTTCATAAAAAATCAAAAGAAAATTTGAAAATAAAAAATAATTTTTAGGCGCTTTTTTTTGGGTGCCCATACCGGTAAAACGGTACTAAAACACGTCTGGGTTCTTCACTGATAGATATATATACATATACAGCCCTTGGAATTAGAATCAACATTAATAGCAGGCCTTAGAATAAAAGGTGTGCAGTCGCACACCTTATATGATCACACATAAAATACTTTATTTTGACAACTTGGCCATAATTCTTTGCAAGTTTTGATAATTATTACTTTTTAAAAAGACGCAAAAAAAACTTAAATTAAAATAAACAATCCATAAACTAAAAAGAGAAAAAAATCTAAAAAAAATAATACAAAAATTAAACTTAAATAAAAATTTTAAAAGAATAATAAAAAAATAGAAGAAAAAACAGAAAAAACTAAAACATTATTTAATGTAAACTTAATTGAAAGTGAAGTTGAAAAAAAATTTATTTAAAAAACGTGTGCATGCTTGTTAAAAAAAAGACACCAAAATCAATGTCACGTTTCTTTAATTTTCTTATGCAAAAATTCGTGTTTGATTAAGATTTTTCAAAATGAATGCATTACTTCTGCAATTTTTTTTGCCATATAATTTTGCAATTGATAATTTTTTATTTATTATAAAAAAACACATATTTAAAATAAAAAATAATTACTTTCAGAGACTTTTAAAAAAAAACCATGGCAAAACATGATTACTTTCGTCAATAGCATAACTTTGAAGTAAAATAACTACTTACACTATTAAAAAAAAGTAATTATGTTTTAGCATGGTTTTTGCATGCATTTACAGAAGCATACAAAATTTTACTTGAAAAGAATGCTCTTGCAATTACTTCAAAAGAAACTATGGTTAAACATTATAATCGCTTTCTTTTATAGAAATTATAGAAAGTAATCATAATGTTTAGACAAGGTTTCTTTTAAGAAATTAGCAATTACATTAGCAGCTAATCTTGAATCCGATCTCACTTTAGTAATAGATTGGGGTTCACAGTGGCTTGTGAATTTCAACTCTAAAAAAACCCAGTTGCTTACTGCAAACAACTACCGTAATGTGGTCAACATTCCTATATTAATGAATGGCAATCCTCTTACTGAGTCGTCTTCTTTACGTCTTCTTGGATTATCGCTTACTACTGACCTTTCATGGAAACCATATATACAATCGATTGCTAAATTAGCTTCTGCTAAGGTTACTTCTCTTTATCGTGCTCGCCATTTCCTTACTTCTGATTCCATTCTCTACCTCTACAAATCTCTTATTCGTCCCTGTATGGAATACTGTTGTCATATTTGGGCTGGTTTTTCTAACAATTCACTTTCTCTTCTTGACAAGGTCCAAAAACGCATTGTAAATGTTGTTGGGCCTGGACTATCTGCTAAGCTTGAACCTCTTTCCCATCGTCGTAAAGTTGCATCTCTTTCTCTTTTCTACAAATACTATCATGGTCACTGCTCAAAGGAGTTATCATCTCTAGTTCCATCAACTAAAATTCATTCTCGTTTTACTCGTCATTCAGCTAAGTCTCATTCGTTTACTGTATCTGTCCCTGCATGCTCTAAAAACTTTTATTCATCTAGTTTTTTTCCCCGCACTTCAATCCTTTGGAACTCTCTCCCATCTTCATGTTTTCCTGACTCATACAACCTTCAACTTTTCAAGTCTTCTGTCAACCGTTTCCTTGCTCTATAACTCTGTTCTTTTTTTTCCTAGTAACTCCCAACTTGATAGTGGTTGCTTGCAGCCTTGTTGGGAGTGAATGCAAATAAAAAAAAAAAAAAAACATTAAAAGTCTAAACCAAATGCATTTATTTTAAATAAAATTTTGCATGCTTTTTTTTTAATTTTCTTATTTAAACTTAAAGTAAAGTAATATTTGTTTGAATAATAAAAACACTTTTAAAAGTTTTGAAAAAAAGATTTAAGTTTTGCTGAAATATATATAACCTATATATATGACTAATAAAATTTATATAATTATTATGTTTATTATAGATTTATTTTTTATTTTCAATGTTCATTAAAAAAAAATTTTACACCCTGGGATTTTTTAACTGAGTTAAAAAATAGTTAGCATATACGATTATTTCAAGATTATTGTAATTATTTGGTTTAGTAATGTAAATAATTTTTTAATTAGAAATTATATTTCCACTATAAAACTGTTTGTAATGATTTCTTGATAGTTTTTTAATTTAAAATGATTCCATAATTGAAATTATGGAATCAATTAAATTAAAAATTGTATTTACGTTTAATTTGTTTTTTTAAACCCATTTTTTAAAAGTGCTAATTGTCAAAACTTGGAAAGAGCCATGATCAAGTTGTCAAAAGAAAGTATTATATGCATGGCCATATAATACTTCTCTTACACAAAGGCCTGTAATAGCTGACTGAAAAGTGTTTAAAGTTGACAAAATATCCCCAACCTCATTTTTATGTTTTATGGTAATCCTTTTTTTTTCTTTTCTGCTGACCTGATTTTGACTTTTAACAGTTTAAGGACAGCAATTTATTAACCTTATTTTTCTTTTTTCCAAGGGCTGAATTAATATAAATAAATAAATAAATAAATAAATATATATATATATATATATATATATATATATATATATATATATATATATATATATATATATATATATATATATATATATATATATATATATATAAACTGTTGGCTAAATAAAAAATATATATATATATACACATCAATATATATACACATCTTCCCAGGAAAGGCGTGCAGTTTTTTGTCTCGTATGACCACAGGCGATTATATTATTTTAGAAAACGTGAACACGGTTGTTTGCATATAATAATGCTGAAAAAGTTTCAAAAACAAAAAAAACAAAACTAACAAAATAAAAAGAGATTGAAATAGAAAAAAATAAAAACAAATTAATAATTTAAATAATTAACAAATTAATAATTTTAAATAAAAAACTTTATTTAAAATTATTAATTTGTTAATTAATAATTTTTAATTGTTTCTTTAGAGTTTTATTCAGCAACAAAATTAGATAAGGCGAAGCGAAAAAAAAAAACAGTTTGAAGTCTACAATAAAAAGAATGATTTTCCTTTTCTTATTTTTTTTTAAGAGGATAGCAAAAATACAAATTGCAATCTGTTTGTAAAATTTATTTGTATAATTTCAATGTAACAACAAGGGTTGAATTAAGCAAATGCTAAACGCAAAATCTGGAAAAATATCTAGTATTTAAAATTTTATTTTACACAAAACTGTGTTCCTTGTTTTTAAGGGGAGAATCAACTTAAATTTATTAGCGAAAAAATAAAACAATAAACTTACGATTGCATAAGTAAGAACACTCTAGTCACTAACAGCATTACAAAAGTAATAACACTATAATAGTGTTATTACTTTTATAACGCACATATAACTTTTAAAATTCATTCTTTGTTCAAGCAACATTAGTATTCCCAAATTTTAACTGAAGTAGAAAAATATCTAGAAGAATAAAGTGGATGTTCAAATAATATTAAAACTAAAGTAACTTATAAAAATGTGACAAACAACATCATGAAAACGTATCGTGTTAAAAGTTTACCATTATGAAAAACGTTACTAATGAACCGTAAAAACGCGCATTAATTTTAAAATTAACCAATAAAAATTTTTTATTGGTTGATTTTAAAATTAACGCGCATTTTTATGTAATGTTTTTCATAATGCTATATTTTTTACAAAGTACTTTTTTATAACGTTGTTTAAGTGATATGTGAAAGTTCCTGAAATTTTTCATAATATTTGAATATCCGCTTTATTTTTTCTAGATGCTTTTCTACTTTAATAAATGTTTGGAATTAATAATGTTGTTTGAACAAAGAACTTTAAAAGTAATAAGTGCTTTATAAATGTAATAACACTATTATAGTTTTATTACTTTTATAATGCAGTTAGTGACTAAAGTGTTATTACTTTTGTAGTCGTAAGTTTATTGTTTTTGTTTTGCTTTTTGTAACTTTCTCACTAGTAAAATTTTAATAATTTGCTCCTTATAAACAAAGTACACAGCTAAAATTTTAAAGACCTAATATTTTACCAGAGTTTGCAAATCGCGATCGTATAATTTAACTCTTAATATTAACTTGTTACATTATAATTATACAAATATATTTTACAAACAGATGACGATACATATTTTCTCTTTCCTCTATAAAAAAAAAACACATAAAATATGGGAAAGTCATACTTTTTAACGCCTAAAACCGTTTTTTCTTTTTTGCTTTGACTTTTGTTGCCGATAATAATAACCACTAAGAAAAAACAAAAATAAAAACAACACACAAATTATTTAAACTATTATTATTGTTTTCTATTTAAGTTTACTTAATTTCTTATGTAGTGATCACGTTCTCTAACTTGAAAAACGTTTTCGTAGTCGTACGAGACAAAAAACTGCACGCCTTTCCTGGGAAGGCTTGCACATATATATAAATTATAGGCTTTGAAAGTAGGAAAGATGAAAAATGGTTCTTTAAACAACAAATTACGCTAATTTTAATTACTTTTGACTTTTTTTAACAGTTCCATGATGTCTAAAAGCTAAAATTTTTATATTTATTGCGAATAAAACATTAAATTATTGAAAAAAAAATTAAAAAATTAATTGACTTAATTAATTTATTATTAAAAATTAATTAATTTAATCTTTTTTTTTTGCAGAATGTCATAAGCGAGAGGTTCCAAGTTTGATCCCCACCACTTCCCTGGTAGTACCGCACTCTACTTATTTCTCCGAGCAGTGGCCTTGTTCGTCAAGGACCGTGTTTGGGAGTTATAGAGATGAGAGAGGGTTATAACTAAAATTAAGAAGCCTCCTCGTCTGCAGTGGCCTTTTCAGCCTTAATGAGATTAACAAAAAAAAAAAAAAAATATATATATATATATATATATATATATATATATATATATATATATATATATATATACTGCATAAAATACCTTCCATTGTATGGGTTGAAATAAATTTTTGTATCATCAAGACATATTATTTCTTGCCATAAAGGATGTAGATCATTTTGATTTCCTAATAAATTAAGTGAAGTAAACAACTATATTGATATATTGAATTTCAAGCTATAAAAATTAGTTTGAATTAATAAGTTATTTTAATAATTATTCTTGTTGCGTTTTTCTAATGTTGAGATATATAAATAAAATATATAACGATATGCATTATAAATAAATAAATAACATAATTAATTTTAAAAAAACAATACGTGACACAACTTTTGTCCTTGAAATGATATACTTCAATTTCTTATGTCTAAAGTATGTGGCAAAACAATTACATTAAACACAAACTTGTGACTGCAAAGACCACAGCGCAAAGAAAATTTGCTTTTATTGTGAAAAATTTTTGTTCATTTTGTTTGCTAAGAAAAAACAACTGCATTTTGAATAAGGGCTTCCAGTTCGAACATATTCAGGTTTGAATGCTCGAACTTTTTAAGAGGTTCAAGTTTGAACTTTTTTTTTTCTTAAAGTTTGAACAAGTATATATATTAAAGTTAGGCTCTTTATTATCATTTTTTAAAAGTTAAACCAAAATTTTTTTAAATTGTGACTTTTTTAGTTTTTGTTACTCTTAATTTTTGTTGTGCAATATTTTTCAAAAACAACACTTTTAAAAAGTCACAAATGGAATATGTAAACAAATAATTTAGAAAATTACTTTTAAGTTTTAAAAACAAAATAATTACGTGAGTTACATATTTTTAATTGTTAAAGAAATCCTATGGTAATACCCATAAAATAGATCGTTAAAATTTCTGAATTAAAAAAAAAAAAGTCAAGTTAACGAGCTTATAAAAGTTTTAGTTTTACAAAATAAAAAATATGGATAAGTTTAAAGATGGAAGCACAACTACAAGATCTGAGACATGGGGCTATTTAGAGTTTTTCAAAGAATTACAGAGTTCAAAAGGTAAACTCTGTGAAATTATTCGTAAAACACCTGGTTCAACAGCAACAGCTATTACATGGCATTTAAAACAAAATACAAAATTGAAATTCTTAAATGCAACAACTCTGTGCCCAAGGCTGAAGCAAACATTCTTGCTGCCAAAATACCTCAAATTGAAAGTTTTTTCAAGGATGACTATAAACCTCTACCTGAAATATTAAGTCAACTATCAGCTATTAATGGAATCAGTTTTCATAACATTGCTAAAGGTGAAATTCTGCAATCCGCTTCAACCCAGGAATACCAAACCCCTTAAAGTCCTCAAACCTGTTACCAAGGTCTCAAACAAAACCTACTCAAGCAGAACATTTAAGCTTAACAAAGCGTGTAGCATTTTGCATAAACATTGTTTATCAATCAACCTGTTAATTAACCGTAGACGCTTCTAGTGTCTGCTTAAGATATAAAAAACGGGAAGAAGACAAGAAAAATATAGTCGAGACATATAGTTGGAGATATAGTTAAGAATATAGTTAAAGTAGAGAGAAAGTCGTGGTCAAAGTGAGGATCGAAGTCGAAGTGGAGATCGATGGTCAGTCAGAAGAGTTAGTAAACCATAAGAAGCAATAATAGACTAATTAATTAAGAGACAAACTGTTTAAAGAATATTATAAATTGTATTTGTATATGTTATTTATTTATATTTTGGAAACAATACAAAATATTATATTTAATGAAGTTACTGTGTAACATTTGAAGTAATCTATTATGTAACATTTGGAGTAATCTATTGGGTAACAAACCGTTCGCAACTTTGTCATTAAACACTTCAGGTTAGTCAAGAATCATTGTAAGTTCTGTTACTGATAGAGCTAGCTTAATGAAAAAAATTGGTCATGACACTAAACCTGAACATTAAATGTGTTACAACATTGCTATTCATCTATGTGATTGAAGTGCTCTTTACAAAAAAAAATTTGATGCACATGGTTCTGATAATAACCTTGGTGATATGGAAGCTGTAGATTATGATCAAGATTACAGTAATGATGATGATGGGACTGAAGTTAATGATGATATTCAAACTGTTCATGCAGTTACTGAACTTTGTGTTGCTTTAAAACCACTAAAATTAGCCATCTTTCATTGACTCTTTCAAAAGAAGATGCTTATCTTTTGTATTCTGAAATAGTGATTGAGTTTACCATAAAAAAACTTCATGAAGCTGATATACCTGAGTCAATTTGTTAAACAGATATTTGAATATAGAATAGTTGAAAGAAGAAACATTTAATTCATGAAGTACTTGTCAAATCCGTATGTCTTAAATAAAGATGACCAATTTAGCAACATGATTGAAAAAAAGACCATTATTATCTTGCAGCCATCTGACAATAGATTTCTTGATCAGAAATGAGTTTAATTTAGCTTAAAAACTCAAACTTTTTATTGAACAGACACTAAAATGAAACTTGACCATCAGGAAATTAAAAAAAATCTGTTCAAAAGAAAATGGCTGTTTTTCAAGCAAGCAAAGCTAGGCCCGAATATTTAGATTTACTTTTCAAAGCTCTTTAAACAATTCCTCCTACATCTATAGAAGCTAAGAGAGCTTTTTCAAGTCTTTGACTTTTCACTACTAAAATAAGAAGTTCTTTAAATAAAGAAACTTTAGATAAACTAACTTATTAAAAGCAAACTATGAAGAGTACTCGTTAATATTATTTACTTTTGTCCTAATTAATGATGATAAACAAATAAATACTTTTACATATTCTTTATATTACTTTTTTACTGTATTACTATGTTTTAACATAACTAAAATAAAGTTTGAAATAGTTTGAACTTTTTTCCGTAACAGATCAAACACATTCAGGTTCGAACTTTTAAAAAAAAAGTTCTTACTGGAAGCCCTATTTTGAATAGACAAAGTAAAAAATGCTTCATAAATTTTCTAGATTGAATGAATTATCAGAATGAACATCAAGCTTATCCTAATAATAACACAAACCAGAAAATTTAAAAAACCAAATGGAATATCATCAAAAAAAAAGATTTGGCAGACAAATTAGCAAAGAAGTAATTGCAGAAGTTCTTTTGATGAATATTTAAGCTACTGTTTAGGAAAGAAAGAATTTGTATTAAAGTAGATGTTATTATGCACATATTCAAAATTACTTCTTTTAATCAATATATAAGAACTCCATATTGAGCTTAAAAAATAATAAATATTTTAAAGTTGGAGTTTCAAAGTTTTGTGAATTAGTACCTACTGGTACCTGTGGGTGGTACTTCTGGTGTTGGTGGTGCTTCTGGTCTGCATATAAGAAAGTTGATAAGATTTTAATAATATTGACTTTAAATAAAGTAACAAAAACATTCATCATTTTGTTTTATAAGTTACCAAATTTTTTTACCAAGTTTTATTTTAGCATATTTTAGCAAGTTTAGGATTTTTTTAAAAAATAAGAAGGTTATAATTTTTCTCTAATTTAATACAAGTTTAAAAAAAAACATTTTTTTTAAAGAGAGAACTATCCAGAAAATAGTTCTAGAAAAAATGACACTGGTTAAAAAGTGAAATATATATATATATATGGATGTATATATATATATATATATATATATATATATATATATATATATATATATATATATATATATATATATATATATATATATATATATATATATATATATATATATATATACATATATATATATATATATATATATATATATATATATATATATATATATATATATATATATATATATATATATATATATATATATATATATATATAGGGCTTGAATTAACGCAAAAAAATCATGCCGCTTTGCAGTCATGGGGGGGGGGGGAAGGAGAAAAGTTGCGTTAGTATATAATTTTAACTTTTGTACGTAATTGTTCTATTTTTAACATATTATCACTCATATTTAAATATAATCTTATAATTTTCTTGTTTGGCAGAGTTTAAAATAGCGTAAGTTACTGTTATTATTTAAAACTTAAAGTTTAAGTTGCAGTTGTAATAAGCAATAACGTTTTTAATACTATTAAGATATTTCTTTAAGTATATTTTTACTTAACATGATACTTAAAAAAGTAAAAGTAAAAAAGTAAGAGAAAAAGCAACATTACAATATCTAAACCACTTTAATTAGTCAAAGAAAACTATTTAATACGTTCATGCTGGCATTAAAACACGTGTTAACTTTAATTGTTAAAAACTATAAAAGCTTAAAACAAACTTCAAAACTATAAAAGCTTAAAACAAACTTCAAAGTTGTTTTATAAATATAATATGTGACGCTGTTTGGTGTTGATTTATATGGTTTATAAAATAAAACGTGTTTAAAATAAAATGAAGCATATAAATAAAATTGATCTAGTTAATAAACTAAAACAAAACTTCAAATTTGCGCCTATAGACCCATACGAGTTTATAATCTATAGACCAAACGAAGCAAAAAAACATTAGATACCACGTCTTTTATAAATTATCGTTTCCCAATCAAGCGTACTATTAAAAATTTAAGTATAATTAAGTTTTTCATTCAAATGGTTTTTAAGCTGATGTTTTCATTCAATTTTTTTTTTGTTATAATTGTTTTCCAAAAAAAAGTGAAACAAAAAATTTTGTTTAATAAATCGAACTATATTAAATATAAGAATATGCTTAAATTATTTTTTTAGAAAAAAAAATTTTGAACAGAAAAAAAATAATTTATTAAATTTCATTTAAATTTTTTATAATTTTTATTTTAACTTGCAATTTGCAATTAAAATACTGCTTTGATGTTTGCAATAGAATGTTTCTACTTTTAAAACTATTTTCAAGTAAAAATATATAATTCAAAACGTTAAAAAAATTTACAATTTACGAAAAAAAAAAACTTTCTTCTTCATTCTCCCTTGATTCATCAAACTTTTTTTCAATTTTTAATTTTTTTTTTTTAATTTCAAATTTCAATCACAAAATTATTTGAATAAGTGAATTTTAAGGCTAAAGTTCTCTTGTTCAAATAGATTTCTTTTTAAATAAAATTCCCAAAAACAACTTGCGTATTTATAGAAAATGTTTAGTCTAGATGTCACTATAAATAAAATGAAAATA